CGAAAAGCGTCCTCAGCTCAGCGTCCAGTAAGAATTCCGGCGATTCTCGACTTCAATTGAAAGATATTAGCTCGCCAGTAGGTGACCGTTGTGTGTTAGGCGTGCGTTTGAGTTTGTCTCCGGCTGCTGAGAGCAGCGATGGAATGGTTAGTTAGTCAGGAGGTGATCGTTCGGGCAACATTCAGCCCAGCCAGTGTCACGCATGGCAAAATACACGGTTAAAATACACATGTTCACCCTATTGAGACCAGTTATGGTGGAAACTTTGGCCGCTTTGCGGGACGGGAAAATATCATCAGATCGGAATGAAATTTTGCACAGAACCTTGTACCATAGTATCGACAAGAATTCCGACCCGGCCCGACGAATCCGACAAACTTTTTTTTTTGCCATGAAAATGTGGACCACCCTAATGCAGAGTTTGTTACTGTTTGTTGTATATGTTGAATTGCTCCATGTACAGCACTTTGTATGCAGCGATGGCTGTTTGAAAGTGCTCTATAAATACAGTTGAGTTGAGTTGAGAGTGGAATACATGACTGGGTTGTGTCAAATCCTGTCTTACTTTGTTCTGCTACACCAACATGCCTTGTACTGTAAAATCCCCCCACTGTAATCTGCTAATGGTCTTCCCTGAGCAATATTAGATGTTGATGCCGTGCGTCCATGCATGTGAGACATGCAGTTAAGTTGACTTCTTGATTCAATTTGTTTTCACCACAGATGACGCTGACAGTGCAATCAAAGTGGTGGAGAAACTGGAGGAGCTTTCGGTAAAAGACAAGAAAGAAGGTGAAAAGGTGACTGAGAAGAAAGAAGAGTCGAAGCAGGTGAAGGCTGAGGAAAAGAATTGAGAGAGAAGAACTTTCGATACTGGTCTTCAATTGATCCGTTTTCCTCTTTTTTCTACAATAGACTCTAAACGAACTCAATTTGGACACTTGACATTAGTTGTTTTTTTGTTGATTTTGTTTTTTTTTCCTCATTTTTTTTAATGCTCCGTTTTGCCTCACAAGTCCTTAATACCACTTTCAGAAGCAAACAACCAAAATATTGAAAGTATGACAGTGAAGTCACCCTTCCTTTTACCCCTTCTCTTCAAAACATCATTGGAAGAACACACTTTTCAATTCTTGTCATCAACACTTTAATGTTACTTGTGACAAACTGAAGAGGCTTGTGATTGAGATGATTCCCACATTGGGGTATTTAGTTTGTAGCTTGTATTTGTTTTTTTGTTGTTTTTTTTTTTGTTTGTTTGTTTTTTTTTTTTTTTAATTATTATTTTTGTAGAAAGAGGATACTGTAGCCTGCTTGTTAGCAGCACACGGTCAGGGACCAGACCAGGCGTCATGGAAGAGCATTTTCTATTACATCCCATGATGCAGTTCAAATGGCTGTTGGCCTCTCCATGCTTCTGCTGTTCCCGGCATCAAGTAAATCATGTCAGTGGAGACGTGTAGGAGTAGGTTTTTTTTTTTTGGTAGTTATTTTTGGGGTTGGGGGCAGGTTCATTTTGACATCACATTTGTGTAGAGCCAATAAGCAGAGGGTCTGCAGTTTAGGACCATCCGATGCACTTAGACTAAATTTCATTTTGTTCAAAACATTTGAACGTGAGTAAGTCCAAAGTCAGCAGTTCATCAGAGTTTGCTCTAGCGCCACTCCAATTGAAGTTCCTCATCACCAGGAATTCTCTCGGTAACATTCCCTGCTTATTAGCATGTGAAATCTCTCCCCAGCCATCCTGCTCACATCCATTTCTTCTCACCAAACATTTCTGAACCTCAAAAATGCATCCAAGTGCCAGTGCATCTGTAAATACTTGTACATGGATGAAATGTTGCTTCTCATTTGCACTCAAAAAGATTGGATATGTTTCCTCCACCTTTGAATAAAACACTGTCAACCACTTTTGCAATCACTCAAGCATTCTTGTGACAAGTGATCTTAGATTTTTCTGGTTGTGTTAATCGCATTCTGATTTTTTTTCCACCATTTTTGTTAGTACAGTGAAACTCCTCTACAACGAAATCATGTTTGCAGCAAGAAATTTTTCACAACAGGGGGTTTTTCACTGTAGCAAATTTGATCTCAGATGTAAGCACACACACACCCACACACACAAACGTATGTGTACACGCACACACAAACGTTTGTGTACTCTATTTTTATTCCAATAGTACATAAGTATGAGCACACACTTATTTGACACTTCATATTGTCAGTGTAGAAAGAAAAAAAGGGAAAGAAATTGCGAAATTTACGATCAGCATTCACTTTCACTTACATCAATTTCTTGGAAAATGTCTTATTTTGCTTGCTCCGTCTTTCATTTTGATCACTTTTACCCTCTCTTCCAGCATCAGAGCTCTTCTTGTCTTAGCTGCTTGACATCAAAAGGTCCGTTTTGTAGCCATTTTAGCAATGCAACGTCCATCCTCGTCTGAATCTAACAATAACAAATACTTCCTGGCATGCAATGAACTTTTAAGCCAGCCACGGGGCGCTTCGTAGTCCTCGATGGCCATAGTTAGCTCTCGAAGACTAAAAACCTTACGCTAACTGGAGCGCTTCTCTCTCATTAGCGCTCCAGTTAGCGTAAGGTTTTTAGCCTTCGAGAGCTAACTATGGCCATCGAGGACTACGAAGCGTCCCGTGGGTGTTTTTATCATGATAAATAGTAATACTTTACTTTTTATCATGCTAAATGTCCGTCGAGCCATGAGCAGTTTACTCTGAGCAGCTAATCGGATGCTACGGATCTAGCTTCAGTATCTACACACATAGACAGTGAGGTCTATGTGGCCTCTTGGCCAATCGGAGGCCAGGATGCTGCTCGGTAAGCCAATAGCAGAGCAGCTATGAGTATGTTGAGCCCAGGAAACTCGCAGCTGTGACCGAAATAAACATCGTTCACTATGTAAACCAGTGTGGTGGTTGCTGTTGCCTTTTTTCGAACGAAGCAGTAGAGGTCGCTGTTGGATAAGACTTCGTTGTAGTGAATGTCTTCGCGAGGCTGGAGCAGACAAAATGATTTCGTATAACGCAACAGGGGGTTTTTCGTCGTATGGGGGGCAGGAGAATGGGAATTGTGTTAATGCATGAAGATTTTTTCACATAAGGGGGTATTTTCGCCCATGCAGGTTTCGTTCTAGAGGAGTTTCACTGTATAGCTCGAAAAAGAATGAACACATTTTTAAAAGTATAATTTGCTCAATTGACACTTTATTGACTGCTCAGGTTTCTTCACAAAAATAGGAACATCCATAGCATTGTCTATATTTTAATACAATGAACTCAGTACTGAAATGCTTTGAAAAGTAAATCAGACCCAGGTTGATGGGATTTAGGATCATTGTTAACTTCTGGTAACATTTTGGGACATTTAATCATGAAGTCCATTTTCTGAAATACAGCTGGACCAATGGCAGTATAAAGGAATGACACCAGTGCTGCATGTGGGCAGCTCAAATGCGTTTGTTTGTTACCACTCTGTAGATAATCCTTTTCCTCCCCTGTGACAATTTGATAAATTCAGATTTACAGTAAATTACATGCTGTGCTATATGGCATCACTGTACCTGGTGTGGCCTTAGATCCCTTTACTTCAAGGCAACAATGGCTGAGTATTAACAAACCAAATATTTGTTAAATCTGTCATTATTTAACCAAATTCAGTTAGCCCTAATCACAAAGCATCTAACAGCAGACTTTTGTGTTCAATACGCTGCTGTACCAGACAGCTATTGCATGCGTACAGAACATTACTGGCCTAAATATGACAAAAATAAAATGGTAAGACACGGGCGATTGAACATGAAAGGAAATCTTGAGGAAGAGACCACTAGCACTTTACCAATCCAAGGTGGTCTGGGGCCGTGCGACAACTGAAGCGTTTCATCTTTTAATACACTTCATTATACTCTTTAAAACCAATGTTCTGTGTGAGTATTCTCTATAACACAGTGGCTTGCAAGTGGGACACAATTGTGATGCGGGATTAAATTCATATGTTTCAAACATTTTAAGAAAAAAAAGAAAATGAAAAACCTGGGCTGTGCGATATTAGGTGCCTTTACTGTCAGTGCACTCAACTCACTCCAGGAGTTCTCTGATGATTCTTGAATGAACAAACATGAGGAAGAAGGTGCTCATGTCAGATGAGACCAAATTTTAACTTTTGGGCTCAATGCAAAACGTTACGTTTGACACAAAAGCAACACTACACATCAGGTCAGTTCCCTCAACAAGCCCTTCTGGCTGAATTGTAAAATTTTATCACATTAAAAAAAAATGTTGGGCATAGAGTCTACAAAATCAAGCCATTTTTGAAATGTTGGGTCTTCAGTATTAAACTACATACTAAAAATGAATGGGTCATATGTTAACTACCAGCCTGTATCTCTAAACATCTTCCCATTCCCGTGACTCTATTGATAAGTAAACACTGAACCAGAAAACAAATATCACTAATTAAAATAAGTAAGTTTGACCGTCAAATGTTGGGTTTTCAAATTTGTCAAGTATGAGGTAACCTGATGGTCCAGAAGAACCCTGCACCTTCTTGTGTCGATTGGAAGGCGAGTCAAGTACTTGTCTTTAACTCCTATAAGTCACCGAAAGAGACATTACATCAATTTAAACCTGTGCTGGTTGCGTCCATTCGTAGGAAAAAAAAAAAGTAATCAATTGGAAGTGGACCGAAGATGCAGGTCTCCTTTCAGGGGCCTGGCATTTTGAAGCACCACGTTTTGTTGAATTCTTCTCCAAGAAGGCAGGGTGTCACACTTGGAAAAGTATGATTCCTTCCCTGAAGGTGTTCATGTTTTGTTATGTTTAGGTTTTTTTCCCCAGTGACATTTTTTTCAGTCTCACCGATGGTGTACTGGTACACTCGACTGCCTTGTGTGTGGGCAGCACGGATCGGTTCCAACTCAGTGATTACGTGAATGGTTATCTCTCTATATGTGCCCTGTGACTGACGGGCATCCAGTTCAGGGTATAGTCTGTCTTCCGTCCGAAGTCAGCTGGGATAAGATCCACCAGCTCCGCCCTCCCGCCGACCCTGTTCAGGATAAGCTGCGTTCTGGCTGAAACGAAAATGTGTACGGTATAGGACATTTGGTCCAGGCCACATAAGAATATGATCTTTTGGTCCAATGAAATGACCAATACATGGACCCCCACCACAAACACGGACGGGTCTCCCACTGATAATTGGACTCAACGCAGCTTTTTGAATCCAAGAAAACCACACAAGCAGACTGATCCTGTGATTGAAAAATAACAAAACTCGTTTTGTATTCTACAGTTCACCAAAAAAAAAAAAAAAACCCTAAATGTGGTTCTTGTCAGTGAAGGTGGATTCGGTGTCCCTGCTCACACCGAAATCTCATAGGTGGTGCCTCCCACGCCTGTCACCTTTTTGACGTTACCGTGGCGATTGGGACTGGCTGTGACACCCTTGGCACTCGGGTGGCAATCCATCTGGCCATTAACTTTCATGGCCTCTCTGAATAGAAACAGAAAAGCAACAAACGGTGTTCAACTCACAGACACTGAGATTCTACACAAGTAAAATGTTATTGTTCTATGGACGGCAAAGAAAAAGGGATGAAGGGTCAGAGCGGAGCAACATGCCTCAGTTGTCCAGATGGAACGGGAATACTGTGTTGGAAATGACTACTGATGTGAAATGAGTATGTAAAAGCATGCAGAAAGAAGGAGGAATGGAAAGTCACACAACTTTATTAATCTGACAGTGATAGAAGAAAACAAAACTTTTTTTCTAAGGCAAAAAAAAATCAATTCATGGAACATATATGAATTCAGATGGAACTTCAGGATAAATAAACAGTAGGACAAACGCTGTATTACTTAATGCTACATGCAAGAAAAGAGGTACAGATTAGTGCTCATTAAATCAATGGGAGCAGGGCTCAGGAGCGGACAGTTGTGTAGCCCTCCAGGCCCCAGCATCCCACACACACACACACACACACACACACACACACACGCACACGCACACGCACACACCCAGGTCAGGGGCATGCATGCAGTACCACAGGGCTAGGATTCATACCTTGCCCTGCCCAGGCGAGGTGAGTCCATCCTCTCCTGGGCACTCATGTATGAGAGTTTCTGGTGGGAGTAGGAGGGCGATCGGGGCATGGCAGGGGAGCGAGGGTGGTGGGCAGGGGAGCGATAAAGGCCCTCTGGGCCTGAGACCCTTCCGTGGTTGTTGTTGCTGCTAATGTGATCTGTGTGTAAAGAGCCGGATGAAGTCCTGGGTGCTCGGCCCAGAGTGGAGCCAGTCTGGCACAGTACAGGGGTTCTCTGGCCGTAGCTGGGGCCAACCCCCATCAGATTGTCCCTGGAGCCTCCATAAACCGGAGGTGTTGGGCCTCTGGACCCGGCACAGTGAGGCCCATCTGGATAGCAGGGGTTGGGTGGAAGGCCATATCCCCCCGAGCCTTCAAACACACCCGAGTCCTGGGCATAGATATGTGTCTGGGAATGCCCGTGTAGCATGTGTCGCTTCTCTCTCGCCTCCATTTCCTTCCGCTCTTGGATGGAGGCCATGATTGTTTGGGAGAGGTTGTCATAGCGCACTGGGGAGGAGTCCCTGTCCCGTAGGTGAGGTGATTGACGCCCCACCCCCCTCGATGACATAACTGGACTGTAGGTGGGGGCAACCTGTTGTCTCTGCATCTCAGGCTCCCGCATGTGGCACATTTTGGTGGGCAGGTAGGGCGAGTGGAACCCCACTGGAGGCATACCGCGGTGGGCCAAGCACTCGCTGGCAGCGGGTGGAGTGCTACTGGGGTTCAGCAGGCTGTCATAGGATAAGCTTCCGTTACGGTTGGAGAGCGTGTTGGGAGAGAAGATGTTCTTGTACGGGGTAGAGTTGACCGTCTTGGGCTGCAGACCTACAAGATGACCTTTCTCTGATCGTTGCTGAGCCTGCTTCAGGCTAAGAGTCCGAGAGTTGACCGGGTCAGAGTCCAGCTGGAAAGGCGAGGACTTGAAAGTGCGGTGAAGGGGTGCATTAGTGTATTCTGGCAGATCTAAGTTTGGCTCGGATCGATAGTCGTGACCACGAACACCCTCTTCCAAGATGGCTTGGGAGGTTTGGTCATCGGGCATGACAATCTGACAAGAAAACAGAAGACATGATTAGTAGTAAATGCCAGTTTTCTGCAGTTTCTAGGATTAAAAAAAAATAAGAATAAATGCTTCATCATTTTACCTTGTCCCCGGCCGTATGATAGTGGACCTTCGGCATGGTGCCAAAGGATGGTCTGAATTTGTACATAGCCGGAGTGGAGGGGTGGGTCTTACCAGACAGAGAGCTTTCTGCGGTACAATCAAGACAGAGAAAATCAAATACCGTAGATGTGGGAATTAACAAGATGCTATCAGCCATTTCAGCACTGATAGACAACCGAATTGTACTCAGTTATGTACAGTATACAATTATCATTACATTTTTTGAAAACTAATTCCTAAAAACACGAAGAAGTGTGCTCTGTTTGCCATTGGTATATGTTTGAACAAGTGATGGGGGGGACCTTGCTGCAGTACATGAAACTACCAGTTGGTTGCAATGTTGCTCCTTGGGGCAGGGCAAACTGTTCCCTCCCTGACATAATGCACCAAGACAGGTTCTCTTGAGAGAAAGAACCCAGTGTGTGTGTGTGTGTGTGTGTGTGTGTGTGTGTGTGTGTGTGTGTGTGTGTGTGTGTGTGTGTGTGTGTGTGTGCAAGCGAGTTAACAGGAGATTAATGACATTGATATTTCACAAGATTTCAAAGTAACAGATGACATCCGCACCGGGATGCATTCATACACAACGGAATGACCACACAGAGGGAAAAAGGCTGTGATTTACAATTAACAGATGCACCTGCAATACAAGAAGCTGCTTGAAGTTGGTCTTTACGAAGACTTGCGTTTGCAGTCGTGTGAAATTGCACTGCACTATCCAGACGGTTGTTCCAAATCTTTTGGTTCCGTTATACTGTACATCCTTCAGCTCTCGGTGGTGCAATGATAGCTGGCCCATTTAAGTCCGAATAGTAAATGGATGGAGGAATGAGATGTGTGATTTTTGTGGTTCTTACCCTCACTGGAGGTCAGATGATTTTTCAGCTGGTTGTACCTGTCGGCTTTCGGGGGCAATGGCGGCTGAGTTTCTTTTTCATCCAGGCCATCAAGGCTGTTTTTGGACTATGGGGATGAGAGCAGAGCATCAAGAACGTCCTAAACAGGTGGCTGAACAGCAGGTGCGATGGGGATCTGTGTGCGTAGGTGCAGCGACTTAGGTACGGTTAGGCGGATATTTGAGTGATCCCGAAAGAAATTCTGGTGTCTGATTGACGCAATCGCAGTTACAAGCTGCAGCAATTAAACCAACTGCTACGATGCACAATCACAGGTGACAGCCCATTAAGTAGTATGTGAGAGTAATTAAAAAAAATTAAAAATACAAAGCAAATACATTAGAAATGCAATTTTATAACAAGCTAATAAAAATATAGCAATAATGTGCATTCTGTGAAACACACTTGTGTGTCCTTCAAAATGTCATCGTATGTACACTTTACTTTTTAATTGTTTGTATGCGAATAGGTCTGCGGCACGCTTGCCTACCCATTGTGTGAAATGAAACAATCAAGTACATCTTATTTGGGCTGCGCAATTCCGAAAATATGCCTGTGGGCAACCCGAAATTTTGCCCAACTCGTTGTTGAAGCGCAGATCAGCGCATGATCATGATTCTTTTCTGATAAGCAGTACGTATTTGCTCGTTCATCAAAACTGATGATGCGGTGGGGGTGAAGCGGGCATTTCTGTTTGCCGATGTCTGCTGCATGCACAGATGCGCAACGCTAATTGACGTGTAATGTGTCGGCTCCGTGATGAAGTGATGCCTCCGCAAGTGGAAATAAAATGGATCTTCAAATGGGGCCCGCTTCTTCATTCAGCTAGTCGCAACCCATAGCTCCGCCCCCTGCTATCATGTTAAGGAAAGCCGTACTCTGCAATGGGCCTGAAGTACAGTGGACGGCAAAAGCAGTGGCGCCTTTGCAATCAGTAGAAACAAAATCAAATTAAAATAAAATATCAGAAGTGGGTGTTAAATGTGCTGTTATTGTTTGCGTACTTTGACCCAAGAATGTCAGAGACATAAAACACTTCAACCACTTTTACACTAAATTAATATTTGTCAAGGAATAATTTTGGGGGCATCAATAACCTGATTCTATCTTTTGTTGTTGTCATTTCATTACAATCAGTTGTGTGCACTTCAGATGCCCCCAATGAGATAATGAAACAGGCGACAAGTAATGGCAGCACCAAAGTAATGCAAAGCATAGACAGGAGTGGGTATCAGAGAGGCGAGAGCACAAAAACAAAAACTGTAGATTGACTTCCAAAAAAAGCTCACCTTGGAGCTGATAATGGTGCCGTGGATGCCGTTGTCATTGACTTTGATGGTGATTTGCCTCTCTGAGGGGTCCGGTCTGATAAACGGAGGTTGAATTTTGATGTGGGGCTTTTTTCGGGGGTCAAATATGTACCTGCATGGGATGAGATAACACGCATGATCACTGTGATCTGGACCACCGAGATTTTAACTGCTGCTACAAAATTGAAGGAGAGGAACAATATATGCACGATTGTAAATATAGGAGCCTATCCCAGCTGGACTGGTCACCAATCACAAGTCACACATACACTTGCATTCTGCGTGGACCCGAACCCGTGCTGTCTGCACAGGTCAGGAAAGTGAAGCATGACACTGCCGGGGGGCACTAATAAGTATGTCGTCAACAATTCAAAACGACACACACAAGCCCGAGTACTTGGAGCATCTTACCTTGGCCCCAGAGGACTACATAAGACATACTCCACGTTGCCACAGCAACCTTTAGTGAAGGGATTTACTCCTCCACGAAACTTGCCCGTTACCTGAGGAACACAAGAACTTGTTCAGAGTTTACACACACACACACACACGCAAACGCACACACACACATACACATTCACATAGAGAGAGAGAGAGAGAGAGAGAGAGAGAGAGAGAGAGAGAGAGAGAGAGAGAGAGAGAGAGAGAGAGAGAGAGAGAGAGAGAGAGAGAGAGAGAGAGAGAGAGAGAGAGAGAGAGAGAGAGAGAGAGAGAGAGAGAGAGTGTGTGTGCGTGTGTGCGTGCGTGCGTGTGTTTGTGTGTGTGTGCGTGCATTTAAGATTGTATGTGATTGATCAAAGTCAGATAAAAGTCGGAATATTCGTAACCACTTTATGATATCAAGTAACCGGTACCACTTGTAGTTTTGATCTCCAATTTCTATTAAACCAATAACTGATCATTTTAAAGAAAGCGATTTTTTTACTTCTGACAAAAAGGCAGAGCAGTCAGTCACTCTTCAAAAGAGAATTGAAATCCAAAACAAAACACGAAAAATAACAACTCCCTTGAGAAATAATACAGGTTCAACTGTTTACCGTTGAGCATGACACAAAAAACAGTTGTCAATTGTACAATACGCGCAAGGTAGTTCTTAATATTATGAATCGATCGCGTCTGCTCACTTGTTCATTTGTGGTTCGACCTCGCGCCACAAGCACCATGTGGAAACCCGTGAGACCCATGACGGGAATAAAGAAAAGACCTGCGATACACATCACCACCAATCTGGGCATTTCGACAGTTAAGGCCAATAAAAACAGCGGCTCAAGAAACATTTACAATACAAGATGTTGACAAGTGATCAAAAAAATGGGAAAAGGATTGTTAAAAAAAAAAAAAAAGGATACGTGATGGTGGTGTGCAGAGCTCCCAGCTTCTCCCGGTGGTGGAGCACAAAAATGAGGCCGAAGGTGAAAACTCCCAGCATGTGAACGCTCAAAGAGAGCAGGAAGAGGAAGAAGTAGCGATAGTTTCTACGTCCAATGCAGTTGTTGACCCAAGGACAGTGATGGTCAAAGTCCTGAGAATGAGAATGATCATTTTATTGATGTTTAATGGTGAAATAGTTCCACGCGTGTTGTGTAAAGAAAACCGAAATAAGCGGAACTAAACACCACTGTAACCTTACGACAAATACTTGACACACATCTGTATATGTTAAGATTATTACCAAAAATGTGCACCCGCGGCATGCATTCAGTATACAGTCAATGAATAATGATCAAAACAATAAGATGACTCTGGCCAATTTGCCACGGCGCAGTGGTTGGAAAACACTTAATTCTCCAGCATACTCTAAATTAGAGTCTTGCTGCGTGTAAATACGAATTCGCGTTCTCACACGCATGCATCGCGACACACCCACCTCCACGCAATTGTCACAGACACTGCAGTGCGAGCAGCGAGGCGGCCTGTAGAAGTGACAGGTGGCGCACCACTTCATCCGAACCTGAATGCCCTTGATCTCCACATTCTTGTAGAGAGGTGCTCGGAAGTCGTCGTCTTTGTCTTCATCCTCGTCCGCTGTGGCGCACAAGAACAAGCCGTCAGGCAAGAACTGTTTGTACTCATTGTATTTTTTTTTTCCCCCAGTCGGGCAAAAAAAAAAAAAACAAAAAACAAAGCGGTCATTATGATCATAGCTGAACAGAAAGTTAGACTCTTCGTGTTGGCCATGTGCTTCTTATGTGGGCAAAAAGCTCCCCAAAATGGGAGGAGCACAGTGAAGAAAGTAAAGCACAGGCAAAATGAAATCATCTTTGACCTCAGAGAGGTTAGCTGTCACACAAAGAATTATTCAAACAGAAATCATACTTAATATGACGTGTACTCTGCGTAGATATTGTACTTGACATAAAGTGCATCAAGAACAACAACAAAAAAAAAAACATCCCATTTTTAGTTTATGTAATTACGAGCAAAGGTGATGGCTGACCTTCACCTCAGAGTGACACACTCGGGTAATAATGTTTCAGCTTCATTTACCATCATAGGTCACCTCTAAGGACGCACACGTTATCCATTTTAAATGGTGACATGCTACTTGTAGACAACTGAGTAACAACTATTTACAACATTTCAAAAAAAAAAAAAAAAGGGAAAAAAATCCTCCCTTCTAACTCCACATTGCATTTTATAGTGATGAAAATATCAACATGGCACAACTGGAAGGTTTTATTCCCCTGCATAGAGTTTGTGTGTGAGCATGTGGTAAAATGAAGTGTGCTGCTGCTTTGCTCAATGGCTCCAGCGCAGGATGAAAGGTCGCTTGTGAAAAATAAAAGCGTGCAGTGTCCAAAAAGCAGATGCTGTAAACTCATTACAAGCATTTGGCATCTATCTGCTCTATCGCATTACGTCGCTCTGGGAGTTTGGAGAAAGTACGTGCCATCGAAAAACGTGCATCCTACAATTCCCTCAGTCATTGTGTGAAACGTAACAGTGCTGGCTAATCTCTTTAAAAAGAGCAAATGACAAAAATGACTCATGTTGATAAAATGAAAAATGTAACCTCAGCGTTGTCTTTTCAACTTGAGAAAGCTAATTTTCGGTGATTCTCTTCACAAACATTGTTTTGGGGTTCGTCTTGGACGTCACACACGAGCGCAGCCGGCTAACATCGAACAAAGCTTTGAAACGATTTCATACAGTACTTACAGGACGTGCAGTTCATAAAATTGTGCAGGCAATCACTGATCACGTTCACCTCTGCCTAAGAAGGTCAATGTGCACCACACAGCCTGAAGATAATGACTGCTATACAGGAAGGGGCAATTTTTCCTCTCGGAAGGTGCTTATGATTCACAAGCACATGACAAACACCCCCTCAGGGGAGAGTTGAACCACCACTCTTTGAACCTGGATTAAGTTAGTCTGTTTCGGGAGGCATTGAAGTTCCATGACATGCAGTCTAAACACCATCGACGAATCTTAGTGAAGTAGTTTCTCAAGAATTTATGAAACTAAAAACCAACCGAGGCACCTCCTGTTGCTTGTTGTATGACGCTAGTATGCCGTAGAGCCGTGTGTTTGGAGAAGCAAATAGGGCACAGCGATACAAATGTTGGAAAATAGTGACTTGAATGAAGAAATTGGACTTTTTGTCCAATTTCCGATCAAAATGCAAGGAAGGAACCGATGCAGGGAGCGAGCCGCACGCAAACCTCTGGGGTAGACGCCAGGGTCCATGAAGGTCGCCATGCTGAAGTTGGCCAAGACGAAGAGGAAGACGAGGCCATTGTAGAGAGGCACGAGAGGGGAGATCACCTTGGCCAACCAGGGGCACCTGCAGGAACAAATGGAAACAACGTTCAGTTGCTTGTTTTCTATTCTGTCATGTTTACCTTCGTATGAGTCGACAAGCGGCCGGCAATCACAGTCAAATGCACTTTAGCTGAGCCTTTGGTCTTGTTTTGAAAAGATCAATAACCATCATAGGTAACATGATTCCAGGGCGTGAAGCAGAACAGGCTAAAGTGGTTCGAGTTCAGGAAAAAAACAAAAACAAACAGAAAAAAAAAAAATGCAAAACAGCAGTGACCAGAAATACAGGAATGCCTTTGAATTGGAGAAGATCCATGTCGAGAGGATGACCCTAAATAAACTCTGTCTGTTCAAGCTACTATTAAAACGAGTTGGTATACAGTCCATGGGTGTCAAACTCATTTTTGTCGCGGGCCACATTATAGTTACCGGTTCCCTTGGAGGGCCGTTATGACTGTGAAATCATATGAAGAAGTCAAGAATAGTGGTTTATTCAACTATAGTTGAAGTTGCTGTCATGAGGGTTTTGGTAACAAGCAAACTCTCTTATATATTACTTAGGAACATTTGAAATTTTGTTTCAGATTTTAGCAAGCATCATAAAAGTTTGATTTGCTTACGCGGGCCACATCAAATGATGCGGCGGGACAGATCTGGCCCCCGGGCCTTGAGTTTGAAACCTGCGGTGTACACTCTTGCTTCCTAACGCTGAATCGACACCGCGACAGGCCAAACTAGAGGCAACTTTGACACTAGTTGGTGAATCTTCATCTCCTTTTTAACATTTCCATGACACCGGTTCCAACAGTGCGGATCGATTCATGCGGCTTTTGAATGGCTCTACTGCCTTCCCACCACACGCGGCCTGGCCCGAGCCATCAATTCTTCAGTTTACCCATTTCAATTTGCATGGACATTGCCTTTTTCCTCAGTCACTGCTGAAAAATGTTCACCTGCTGAAAATCTCAGCAAGAGTTCAGCACAATCCCCTCAACTCAAAGGTCAAAACCCACCCATCTGTCACTCAAGCAATTCTGTTCGTCTGAGTTCCCTCAAGATCGAACTATGTGATGGATGGATGACGGGTGATGGATGGACACAGAATGAAAGACAATCCTGTGAAGGATGAATCACAGTTGCTTCATGTTTCTTGACATGGTGACAGATGGTTTCAACTCGATTGCGTTTTCAGGTCGACTCTCGGGTGCTGCGCGATACTGTACAGTATCTGCATTGCGTTGGCCCGATTTCTGTTTGACTGAATGTGGTCCTACTTGCTTCCACTCTCTAGCACAACAATATCATTTATTTATTTATTTGTTTGTTTGTTTATTTTATCTCACCTTTGTTTATCCAGACAGACTTAGCGTAAGGTATTCTTTGGATACGACGGCGGTGACTTACTGTATAGTGCGGAACATGACTTTTGCAACCTCCTCTCAAACTACGGTTCCAAAGGGTCACCATTTCTACAGTGCAATGTTTCAGCAACAAATGAGCAAGGCAGAAAAGCACATTTTCTGGCTGCCAATGATTATGTATTTGCGTCTACCGTCAAGCGAGTGGAGATAAGTGCCAGAATCTATTTTAAATTCAGCGCGCAGACAGCGTGGGAAGAAATGGCGACTGAGAGAATGTTTGAGGAAGATAACAGTTATTGTTTCGTCGGGTTGCGGGTATTAAGTAACCATCGAGTATTGACAGAACAATTATTGAAGAAAAAAAAATAAAAGTGTAACCACTGAAGTTAAAGTCAGGTCACAGACTGTTACTTTTTCTCAACTCTAAGTCTGTTTGTAGCTGTACAAAGTGGACGCAAAGCATGAATTCCCTGTGGTAATTAGAATCCTTACAAAAAGAAGATGAAGGGGTAACAGAGCGGATACTGAAATCACCTCAACGGGGCCTGCATGTTAATGTAAAATAAAAGAAGCATATAAACATCCATGCAAAGGAATATACAGTATAAGGAGCTTAGAAAACCCATGGCTCATTCTGTTTTGTTTTTTTTTTGTTTGTTTTTTAAGGAGGGAAGAGGAATGGCAGGGAACAAGGAGGATTAAAAAAGAAAAATGAACATCTTCGTCTTCGTGCTGGCAGAGTGATAGACTGCCTCAGCGTGAACCACAGTCAGATTGATATGAGCCAGCAACTTGGGTTTGAATGTAAATCGCCCTTTGGTTTGAAAAGGAAAGACATTCTTGAATGGATGTGAACGTTTAAGACAGAATGCATCGATGATGTGATAAAAATCTTCAGAAAAAAAAAAAAAAAATCAATCAAGCAATGTTCTTATTCCACAGCTGTGCAAGACCTGAAGAACGAGGAAACACAGCAATGTATTACCAGGGCAAATCAATTATAGTGTACTGGTAATATACCCTTGACTTTGCATATGTATTCAGCTCAAGAAAGAAAGAAAAAAAAAAAAAAATCAATCAAGCAATGTTCTTATTCCACAGCTGTGCAAGACCTGAAGAACGAGGAAACACAGCAATGTATTACCAGGGCAAATCAATTATAGCGTACTGGTAATATACCCTTGACTTCGCATATGTATTGAAAAAAAAAAAAAAAACAAGGTCTACATTTCTGCCAACTCAAGGCTTTCGACAGAACAATTGAGACAAGAAAATTGAGAAGGTAATTTTGCGGGTGCAAGGTTTACGATAATTCCATCTGATTTCAGCTCACTGCTAATCTGCTTTTCTATAATTGCAGTAGAGGTTCCTTTAGAATGAAATTCCCCTTTGTGTTACCATTTTACATTTACGCTTCAATCAACCTCATTTCAACAAAAAAAAGTCTCTGAAGAAAAAAATCATTTCGTGTTTTGGACCAGTTGTCGAAGACAAGTAGAGATTTACAATCATCCACGTTGACAAGAACGGAGGTTTTGTGATTGGAAGCTGGATGGAGAAATGTGATATTGCGTAAATGGAAGTATGCAAACGTAATGTTTTTGACATGTGTTTTGACTCTTGAGGGGAGCGAGGGACAATGAAATTGTCCATGGAATGTGAAAAACTGTTACAGTTTGCCAAGGTGGATTTGGAACTGATGAGCATGATCTCACTTGAAACCAATATTTGATATCTGCAATGCATGGTGATCAGCAAGTATAAATATATCCCCCCCCCCCGCCCACAACGGGCAGTCTAACTCCGGTGTGAAAACAGGTTTGACACACCTGCATCAAGCGGTCCTCGGATTCCGTTGACAATGGAGAAAAGAATGCGTTGTACCGATTCCTGAATCTGATAAGGTTGTCGTGTCAATGAAATTGTCACTGTATATGGCTGCCGTTGTGCCGAAACGTGGCAACTTTTATTTTTTTTTTCACAAATCCATTCTGTCGGTCAGTCCACGCATGTGGGCATTGTTTATTTATTTATTTTTGAATGAATTGCTGAGCAATTGAAAGTGTTAAAAATGGCTGCTCTCTTTGACGATGAAATGTGAATGGTTGAACAAATGCGACGTTTTGGGAGTTTCCTGAAAACAGATCATTTCGGAGGGACAAGAATTTCAACCGACACCAGCAATATGTATTTACGGATGGTGTGGTGCGTTATACGGATGTTCAAGCCAGTAGACTGGGCTAAGCCACGTTTCAAACACATCATGCATGTTCGATTAATAAAGTACTCAAATGTGTCCTTAGGTATGACTGCGATTGTGAATGGTTGTTTTTGTGCCCTGCCATTGGCTGGCAACTATGGCAGGGTGTACCTCGCCTCTGGCCTAGGCTCCAACTCATCCACCAATGATGGCTGAATTAATGCGCAACACTTTCAACAGTAACGTTCGCACCGATGCCGGACAACACGACATTATTACCCCATGACGTGTGCAGGAAATTTCTCGAACCCTTTTGAAGGCACTATTTTGTGACACGCTCAGTAAATCCCGTGTGTTGTGAAATTTGTGATTCGAGAAGTAGCTGGAAGTGATGTCAATGACCATCTGGCTTTCGTTACTCGGGAACAAAACATGAGGCAAAGTCCCCGATGTCCTCGTGTGAAGTGTGAGTTTGCACTATGGGTGTCGACGGGACATTTTTTAAACATTTGCTCATAAACGCAAGTCGTCCCCTTGGAAGGATCGATGCGCGTTTGCTTGTGAATGCTTGCGTCAAGGCATCTTAACATTGATATTCCGTGTTTTTGTAGCGTGCGAAACGTATCTGGTCATCGTCCGATTCAATCAGTCCGAATAGAGTTGAGTGTGTTGACGTGAAGTATAATATTCCCGCAGGGAGAAGACATATGTGCTGCCTGTCTTTATTGCTGCCAAACTCAGACCAGAGCAGATGCATGGGTCAACCGGAATAAATCAGGCTTACAGACCAAAGCCACGTGGCTTTACTCGAGGTGTACAGTCACTATGTTCGGGTGTATGGACCAGAGTAGTGAGGGCACCAAACATTGCCCAAGTGCAGCTGGTGCCGGAATGTGTGTGTAAATGTAAATCCCTCCCAGCCAGAAATACGTAACAGTGTGAAACCCAAGATGGGTATTACATTTGAGAGGGGATGAGAAGTCGGATTGCGACGAGCTGCACAAGCGGCGCTTAGACAAGGCCTCTCAGGGAAGTAAATCCGACAAGTTGCCTTGTGTCACATTCCTAAACTCTCCTTCTGCATAGGGCTGCAACCTGCACGTGTGGTCACTGCCAAATACTCACCCAGGGGAAGCACCCGAGGCTCTTTCGGCAAGTGTGTCGTATAGTGCGCCGCAAACAAAAGGGATTCTATGCAATGGCTTTCTCTTGCATACAAACACCGTGTGCGGTATACTGTGTGCCGTCGTAACAAATGCAAAAGGGCAGTTGGCAACATGAAAAGACTAACTACTGTTGTTATCAGCCTGTTGTGACGAGCAGCAAAACTTTACAGTATGTTTAGACACTAAAAAAATCATAACAAGGAAAATGTTTGCCGGTTTTCTAATGTTTGACATACTGAACAAACGGGGAACCAATTCATTCCTGTGTGCAACAACTGGCAGAAGTGTAATACGT